GATGGTCAAAATTGGAATTTCAACCTGATAAGCTAAGTCTGCAGATTATATCCTTATATTTTTGAATAAAGGACAATATCTGTCATTCATATCACAAGAAGGCAGTATAAATGCTGTTTAAACTTACCGAAACCTACCCACCACGGGGGGAGTTGGGTGTTTGACTCTGATCGCCTTCACGTGGTACCTCCTGGATTCATACTGTAGTATAAATGTACAACTATGATGTCGAAGATCAGAGTTCATCAAACCCGTAAGGTAAATACCCTGTATTTCTAGACCTGCAAATGTTGTCAATGCTAGTCATCCGTCTGTCCAAACCCAAAGATCCTTTTCATTGCTACCGCAGAACTTACTTTTCTACGGAAGAAGCTAAACATCGTCACCAACTTTTCAACTGTCAGTCCATGAAAGGTGAAAAGAGACAAGCTGCCGTTACCAGAACCTTGAACATTCTAAATGCGTGGATAGGATGCCTCCAAAAAAACTGAAATCACAAAAAGTTGCTATCTTGATGGCCAGGCATCCTATGTATTTTTCGGATCGAAGGCCGAAGAAGTTACATACGGTTGCGCAATCGCAGTGCGTTCCAACTACGAGGAAATTAGCCAATTAGCTCTAGATTATGTTGGATAAAGATCACAAAACCGTTCAGAATAAACAAGCCTAAGAACAATACAGATGAACGAGGAAAGAACACTTCCTACGATAAGCTTGAACAAATACTTGGTGCCATACATTCGAACGACCTTAACATCCTTGGAATGGATGCCAATGCACAATATGGCAGAGATGAAACCGTGTCGCCGTGGGGAAATGGCTGTTCCTGCCGACAAAAACGACAACAAAAAATTGAAGGAGCTCCTCAACCTAGCTATGCGATGACCCTGAAGCGAAATCGACGCTCGCAAAAACCAACATGGCACTGTCCGCAGGGTCTGTCTATTGGGTAACAGAAAGAAAACAGCGTATGTGGAAGAAGCTACAACTACAGCTGGACTGCATACACATAAGTGACCATCGAAAGCACGCCAGAAGACGGTCCAAAACTATCTGTAGATACACCTGTCGGTCCTATCCTACCATGTTTAAGTGGTCTTAATGATGGTGCCATATGTTACTGCCAAAAGGTTGGAGACGCCCAAGGCTTAATATGGCATAGTTACAAGAAAATCCAGACGTCAGGAAAAAATTCTCAATGGAATCAGGCACTGTAAAGACATTTGCTTACGACGTCCGGTGGTTTCAGCAACTGTCGACTGGCTGCCGCTGGCGAAAGTATTCCAGTACTCCAGAGAGAACGCGCCTGTCAGTCTGTGTGAGCAAGGACTGAAAAGCTGATGAAGGCACGGAAATCAGCCAGACTTGCAGGAAATAAGACATTAGCGAAAGAGAAGGAAATCGAACGGAAATGCCATCCGACTGAAAAAAGGAATGCACTGTGGGTCAAACGAGCTGCCGTCATGGAAAAACCGTTCAAATACAGCAAACTTAAACGAGCGCCTGATTTAATCCGGCAATACGGCGAAAGAAATAATACCATCCAGCATGTCGTTGGTCCGAAAGATGGATCGCGCATGCTCATAGGACTTAAATGTGCTGAGCAATTTCGGGAACATTTCCAGCAATGTATGAAACGACCTCCGCCAATATTTCAATGCTTTTCTTCCAGCGAATAAGGACATGTGATCATGACTGTAGCGTTGATGTACCAAGCAGCGAAGAGATTATGAATGCTCTCAAAACGGACAAAATGGTAAGGTCGCTGGACCAGATAAAGTCCACGCGGAGCAGATGAAATATATACCTAATACAGGATTCCTGGTACTGTCGAACATCATTCATGACATTTGGTGAACACAGACAATACCGGAGTGACGCCAAGCTTATTTCCATACCTGCTGTATCGGATGTTCAAATTTACAGGGGATTCTGTCTCTTCGCTACAGGTTATTGAAAGAATCATCGTCGGCAGAATTCGACCGTACAAAGAGAGCACCGCCGGAGAAGAAAAATGTGGCTTTCATTTGGGCTGATCGAACATCGACTACATTCTAACGTTGCGCCTTTTGCTAAAAACATACAACTGATACCACAAACCGCTGTTAATTAAGTTCGTCACTTTGAGACAGCTTTCGGGTCCCCAGATCGCGAGACCCTGTATGAGTTGTTAAGAAATGATGGTGTGCCAGCCAGTTATTAACATACTGAAAAACGTTAATATCAGGACAACGGAAGTGGTACGAACAGGTTCAGCGGTCTCAGACAGTTTTCCGACTGAGAGCAGAGTACGATCACCGGACCGATATCACTCAACTATTACACTAATGCCGTACAGCTACAAACTTCGACAGCGAAGTGATATACTAACCATCAGGACGCCGGTTACAAGATGTAGATTATGCTGACGACGTTGCAATCATTGCAATGAACCCGCAAGAACTTCAGAAGGCGTTGATGGCAACAGAAACAGCCACTGTCAAGTACGTACTGAGACTGAAACCATCAAAATGCAAAGTCCTTGTTTCACGCTATGTCCCAGAAAATGTCAACACCATGAAAATTTATGGGAAGATGTGCAGTACGTCACCAAGTTCTGCTATCCTTGATCGAAGATCACTAGTGGCGGAAGCTGTGAAGCTGATATTCAGGAAAGAATCAGAAAGGCTCGAATTGTACATAAAATGCTGCCACATCTTTGGAAAACTGCTGTCAGTGCGTTAATGAAAGTCCATGCATAAGTAACAGCCATTCGACCAGTAATGATGTATGCCGGAGCAACGTCCTTACCAGAAAGGAAGCGAATGCTCTGGACGTACCTGAACGATCGTGTTGGCACAAAATACTCGGGCTGTTGAATGACTGATAAGATCACGAATGTACAACTGCTGAAGAATGTTAGAACAAGCACAAACGGAGTTCGCCAGGCAGGGAATAATATCAACTCACATTCTTATGAACATCAAAAAAAACCAAAACTCTCGCGATTCTCTGTCACGCACGGCGACGGGACGACAAGCACCTATCAGTACCTTGTTTCGTAATGTTCTGAACCCATCCTGGAAAAGACCGATGAAGTCCAACAACTTCATTGTTGGATGGCATCCGAGAAGAACTGTGCGAAACGCAGATGGGCAACATCTACCGATAAACTGCGAGCCAAACATGGCAACGTAATTGGCTTGCAATAATATCTGACATTGCCCAGGGTAGAATACATTGGTAAATGGTGACAAGAAGTGTGGGGATGCAGTAACCCCCATGCGACATCGAACAGTTAAATAAGTCAAACCTACCGAACATTTCTGGCGGGGTATGCAATGAAGATCTGAAGAACTGCAACATCACAAAATGCATATCAAACGGCAGCAAAAATGTGTCATTGAGTTTAAAATCAAATCTTTCGTCTTAATGACTTTCAAGCGA